TAGAATTATTTGTGGAATTTTTACAAGACTGATCGAGTCATTCGGTGTAGAGAATATAATTGTTATTCTTTTCAGTTCCTCCATAGGGCGGGACGATCGATTGAGTATGTTATAACTGGGGAGACAGCTTTGTCCATTCTATCAAGACAATCGGTACAATCGATCGCGAATGAGAGATAAATATTTAACGTTTATACAAGTTATTATATTGAAATTTGACTGCTTTTCAACCCGCTCGACTAATTTATTTTCAGATTATGTTCTTGCTTTTTAACATGTGTATCTTGTACTCTTTTCAAATAATTAACATACAAAAATTGATGAAAATTTCGAATTTTTTGGTATCGCTTTCCGTATGTTTTCTTTGATGTAGTTAATTTCTCTAATTAACACAAATGTGTCAAAATGTTGAAAAAGGCATTAACAATGATCAAAGTATATATGTCATGAGAGAAAATGAGTCGTTACTTTGGGAACCCCTGTAACTGAGTTAACGTCCCCCAAGAACAAGCCCAGGAGTGAGATTGCACCCTCTTCATCCCTCTGAACGAGTAGCGTACGTGTCCTACAGAAAAGAGAGAGAATTTTCGTATACCTAACCTACAACTTACTGCAGGTTCCACTCTCGAGATTCGAGAAAAAGCGTTACCATGACTACCACATCCAAGATATTTTTACGCGCGAAACACGGCTTTTCTCCTGATGAAAAGCATTTCCCTTTTCTCTCTTGCGTACTTCCGATTTGTTCCTTAAAAATTTCTCCATTGTCACTTTTCAAAGAACACAGCAATGGGCTCCTGTAATAACCTATTACGCTCATATTTTATTCACGAAGTAAAATAGATATTTAGGGTTAATACCTCAGTCTTTTAAATTGGGGATATACCATCTTAGAAATATTTAGCCTAATGATCTAGATTATTATTTTTTAATTATTCATTTATTTAATTTGTTTAATTAAATGAAATAATTTTATTTTATAAATTAAATTAACTTAATAATTGTAATTTAAAGTCTTCATGTAGCATAATGGATATAGTTATGATTCAGTGCCCTCAATTTGTAACATAATATCTGTCTCTAACAGCATCCGGATATTCAAGATATCCTATGGACGTCCTAGGGATATCCTGTAATATCTTTTGCTGTTGGGGGTGATTTCTGTCTCACAATCAGTGAAATTTAGCACATTCACATAAGGAATTCAGTTGATCCTTCTTTCACTTTTCTTAAATATAAATGTATAGTAATCCGCTCACGTGCTCTTATGTAAAAAGGTTTTTTAAATATATATATATATAAGAAAAGGGTGTATATTTCCTAAGAATGTACAGGGTTGGGGAAAAAGTCAACCACGAGCAAACAGACTGAAAAGATATTCAGTTTTATCGCATTTACATCATATATGAACACTAAAAGTTTAATGCTCGCACGTGCTTGGATTGTTTCTATTTTTCTTTCCTTCACATTTTCAAGGGTTATTAATATTCACAGAAATATTTAGGTCACACGAGGCATATAGCAATTTAATTACTTTGGCTGAAAACTCTAAAATACTTTTACAACTATCTTGTAATGTTTTATATTGATTCTTTTTCATATTTTTCTATATATAAAATTCTGCTATTTAATTTTATGAACTGTCGTAAATTACCTTTGAGAAATAATATTTCTTTTCAGTGAAATTTTTATACTAATTATTACTCTCAAAATATCATCAATTAAATACAAAGATTAAAACAAGAAATAGAATAATGACCGATAAATCAGAATACGCAAAACTATTGATAATGAAAAATTTTCCCCATCGCCCAACCGGTAGCATCACCAAGGAGTTGGTTGATTTAAACCAATTTTTTTGCTTCAAAGTTCAGGTTTTATCTATATGAAATGTCAAAATTAATGTATTTGTGAAAGGTGAAAAAGAAGTCGAAAAAGACACAAAAAGCAGCTCCCTCCTGAACAGTCAGTGTGTCATTTTCTAGTCTAAGCGAGATTCGAGGATTCTCCTCTTCTCACACTGGGTTTTCGATATCGTGCGGCAAAGCAAACTTAATTCCAAGCTCCCATTCCAGGACATGGCCGCCGAAGTAGCCCCTTCCTAATCGGACGACAAAGGCACGCGTCCCTCTTTTCCTTTAACGCTATAACCTCTATCCCTCTTGTCCCTTGTCTCCCTCACCGAGCCCTTCTCCTTTCATTCTCATTTTGCTTTTACCCTCCACCTAACTTCCGCTTTTGAAACACGTTAGAAAGGTAATTTTCTCCATATATATGTATTCCTGTGACAATATAACGTACCTGTTACAAGAAGGTGTTGTTACAATTCTATCCCGAGACAATTTCATTATATATTTCATCCAGACTAAACTGAAAATTGATATATAAAAAATGCGTCGAGAAAATTGCAGGGTAATATTCGAAAAGATGTGAATTTTGTTTCGCCTTTTTATGATCCTATTGCCATATTTCGATCCTTCTCTTATAAACCCGTGATTTGAGATCGTCATCCTTATTAATATATTGTTTATATGTATAAATGTCGAAAAACATTTTAAATAATAACCACATAACTCAAAAAGAAAAAATATAATAGAAGTGATATATAAAAGTTTGACATACAATTTTCTCAAAGATGATCAGTTGAGAAAAATAAAAACACTCATATTGAAAATCAGCGCGCTTTTGTAAGATGAATGTAAACTTGTTTACGAAAAAAGTTTATTCACAAATTGCAGTAAAAAGTTTTGAAAAAGTAGATACCGCATACAAGTTGAAATCCTTTTTCTCATTCCATTCATTTTCTCTGACAGAAGATGTAAGCAAATATTTCCTCGAGAGTCAAAGACTTAAAAAATTTTTTATATTTGACTTCTCTCATGTTTACCGTATATTCATATTTCATAGCTCATCATCATGCGTATTTTCTTTCGAAGGTTGCTAATTTTAAAATGGTCACGAAGATAAACTGCATCGTCAGTTAATTGACATGTTGCGCGATTTTCCAGTGCAATAATTATTTTATTAGCAGAATATTTTGCCGAATTTGATTTAAGTTTCAAAATAAATACTTCCACGAATTATTTGTTAATCGCAGTTTAGACTAACTTTGCGCGTAAATCGCTTCTCTGACAAATTAAAATCCATAATGTTTTGTGGAAGTTATACACTGAAAAACAGTTGAGAAGACGGTTGCGTCATTAACAAAAGCGCAACGCCACTTGACGTTAATCTCACAGCTCAATCAAAATTTGGAGAATTGTTCTCTTAATAACCTAGAGGAACTCCACTCCCAACTTATATAAAGTAAGCAGCTGATCGGCTCCTTTGATTTTACGGTTGCGTAACCACAGTTCAGCAGCTCGATCAAAAAGGGCAGTTGTTCTCCTAAATAAAAGTGTGCTTTGCAGTTTACCTCATTGAGTAAACATCTTTCTCAACAGTTTTTCAGTATATGGATTTGAAACTGACAGTGTCACCTAAAAAGTTTACTACAACCGAACCAAATGTTTTGCTGACAAACCAAACCTTTTTATCATTATACAGAACTGGGAGTCATTTCCCTAACTTTCTTACATTCCACTTTCTAATTATTTAATTATTGCAAAATTTAGTTCTATTTAAGAAAATATACGTTTTCCACTGACTACGAATTTAATTCTCCCATTAGTGAGAATTTTAACACATAATCCTAAGTAACGATTTTCAAAAATTGACGAGGTTTTGAGTGGTCCTGTCGTCATTTATAATTTTATATGTACGTTGAAAACGTGAAAAAGATATATTGTGGTTTGAAGTGTACAGTTACCATCACCGAACGTTGTTCTGATCGATATTCGGCTTCAAGTTAATTATCGCACTCACTTCCTAAAGCTCGTGTACCTGATGGGCGGCATTACAATTAATGACGCCGCTCGTATGCGAACAGCTCGGAATAGCAATCAATAGTACGGCACCTGTTGGGAATGTTCATGTCCCTCGTATATGCCTTGACGGACAGTATTTTTTTATCCCTTTCCTATACCACCTTTTATTATACTGTTCCTCATGCCCTTTGGGATACCGGAACGGAGGTCGAAACAAAATGAAATCTGTCTTGTCCTTTCATGTGCTTCGATTTTCAACAAGGAACACTCTTCGGATCAAATTTTCCATGTCAAGGGTCTAATTCTATATGTTTTAAAGTTTGTTCCACTTTTGGAGCATCAAAATGTTTTCTTACAGCAAGGTAGTTAAGTAAGCTTGCAGCAAACTTGCAAAAAGCCTATTGCAAGCCGTAAAGACAGTTTTTTGCTTGCACCAAACTTGCTACATGTATTCACTGCAATCTTGCACGGAAAACTTGGTGCATATTTGCTACAAGTTTTCGTGGTGATTGGGCTATTGCAGAAATTGGAAAATTTATGCAAATGTGTTACATCTGGCTGGAAGAATAATGCGTATAATATTATCATCATTTCTAGCATCTTTTTTCGATGTTATTTTAAAACAGTTGTATAAGTCTTCGTCGCTGAATTTTAAAAAACTATTATTCCTATTTATACGAATTTTGACTGTATCTTCTCATCCGCTTCTGTTCTTCGCAGTTGGTGTTATTTTTGTTCACGAAGACGAACTTTCTTAGAAGACAGTAAATGCTGTTCATTTAATTTAAATATTATATTTTCTTCTGCTTGAGATTTTCTAGTAGATTTTTCAAATTTTCCTTTCAATATTTTAAAATAAATGTTTAATTTAATATATTTTTGGTCTTAATTTGAACTGTAACTACTAATAAAATTTATCAATTACTTAAATCACTATAAACCTAAACTAATTTTATACAAAATTCCTTGATATAGATAGTAGTAGATATAGATATGATAGTCCTTTCTTCTTATGCATCACGAAGAGCATTACGTGTTGCGTAAATGAAAGATAGAACGATAGTCACGTACATCATGCGTTGGAAAGTGCCTATACGTAGGAAGACAAGAACCGCGGATTCAGTTACGTCCGGTGCGTCGAGTCGTTGAGACGCCTCACTCAGCGTTTATAAAGCTGGTGATCACATCGTCGCGTGTCAAGCTCCATTTGACATGGCCTACACAAATCAACGTGTCTTAATCACGAACAAGTGTCGCGAGAACAAAATCAAAATTCCCATCTGGAACCCTCGATCATCTTCAGTCACGATTGTTAATACTAATAATTGAAAGATTGAAGGATCATTTAACAATCTTCTGCCGTGAGATCTTTTGCTTGCAAACGTTGACACTCAATGAAATTAACTTAATTTTATCTCTGTCAACAAAATAATATCTTTGTGTTTAAAAACATTCGGATCTTCTATTATTGTGATTAAAAAATCAATTAAGAAATCAGAAAAATGTCTACAGAATATTTTATTAAAAAATTAAGAATGTGTCACATTGATTATAATTTTTTATTTGATCAAAGTGCCTTAAATTTTCAATGTATTTACATTATTCAATGAGGGGAAAATTTAACTATTATTGTTATTACTTGTTGAGAGTTAAATTTTTATATTCCTATTAGAGTTTATTTGTACCAGATGACAATCAATTCGACAAATATACTTTGGCAGATAATAATTTTTATATACATAAGAAGACAGAAAGGATTCTTGATATCAGCAGAAAAGGAATTCATTTCAAAATTGAGAGTTGCAATCGGCAAATTTAATTCCAATCATATTTCTATTGAACGTAGGATTCTTATAAATTTTAACTTGAAGGATTTTTGTTGATGTGGAATATTTATGAGAACATATGTTTTTTGCTGAAGTTTTAAAAGAAATTGTAAAACTACCAAGAATAAGGAATAAATCTAATTTATTCCATTGTGCTTCTTACCTTTGGAAACGAAAATCAAATATGAAATTCCTTCAATTGATTGATATATATACATATATAACATATAGAAAATTGTAAAGGGAATTTTTTAATATGTCTTTTTTTAATGCTTTTCTGAATATGAAAATTCTTTTCAAAAATACAGTTAATTGAACCAGAAGAGTCAACAAGAAAGATGATAGAAAATTAAAATTTATAGATGAATTGTTAAGTGAAAAGAAAGTTTCCTTAAAACACACTTGGTGCGCCCTTCGTGTGGCACGCGAACCTCTTATTGTGGTTATGATAAAATCAGTCTTACGTCCCTTGTTTATGTTATCATCCATAGACAAGTCGTGATCAAGTGACGAACGAGTTTCATTCTGAAATAAAGACAACTTCCTTAATCACAACTTCTTTTAAAAAAAGATGCTGACGATTAATTATTATTGAAATAAAAAGTAAGCATGAAAAGTTAAGTTTACTAAGCGTAAGCAGTGATAAGAGGAGTTATTTCCGCGGATGAAATTTGTGTTGATTGTTTCTCTATTCCACGTGGACATCTTTAGTCGAAACCATGGCCTGCATCAAAGCTCCAAGATCGATAAGAGGCTCCTGCGATGATATGAAGACCGATTCCACTCGTAATATTATTCAGGTATATTAGAAAATATTTAGTAATATTTACTAATTGAAATAGCAGTCTTACTGAATGAATTAGTAGTTAAAACGGTTGCTAATTCCATTAATAAACGAATGGGCGCAGTTCAATTAGTCAAAAGTATAACTAATTCAGTTTTAGAGAGCAGAATCTTAATAAAACCATTTTCCTCTATGAAAAATAAAAATAAGTAGATTTTGACTATTTTACCATTTTTTTAATTTTAGAAATTTTATTTTTTGAAAAAATTAAAGTTTTCCAAAATAAATCTTATGATATATTAATTGAACTGCCGGATCAAAGAAAGGTACATAACTAATGTAATACAAATGGGTTATATGCCCTTCTTTGATCTGGCAGCGCAATTGTTTAGAACTATGAAAAAAATGTAAATAATAAATATAAACATGTAAAATATTAGAATAACTTTTGTAGTACAGTTATAGTAATTTTTAGAAAATGAGATTAATTAGGAGAAAAATAGTGACGAAGTCGACGACGACGACGACCTAAAATTATAAAGGAAGTCATTTTGCTTCTCATTTTCTCTTTCTCAAAAATAGCCCCTACTCTTGATCCGTTTAGATGTGTCTGTATATATAAATATGAGAGAATTAAGCGCAGATGAAAATAGAATGACAAACTTCATTTACATTCTGCGGATTATTTATTTACCTTCTACAATCAGTTAATTTACCTTCAATATATCATAACTTTTTCGTATAAATTTTTCTTTATTCATTATTTGTTTTTCTTCATTTATATTTCCCAAATGAATGAATAAACAAGAAACAATATATTATAAAATATTAAAAATAATTTATAAAAATTAAGGATTCATCAATCGATAATCTGTAATAAGAAAATATATATAAGTATTAATGTTCTCATACTATTAAAAATAATTGTTTGAATAGATAAGATAGAATTGTCCTTGGTATGTGTATAAAATTTTTCAAATAATTGATTATTGTATTGAATTAGGATGTATCAAGAATTAAATTATTTATTAAGAAATTTTATATGCATATATCTCTATACGATACAAGACACTTATTCTTTATTTCCATGTTGGCTTACAGCCAATGCAGAAAATCCATCTGAAATATAAGAGTCGATGCACTTCACTTGAGAAAGAGTTAAAGAACCTTTGAAAAACGATCAGACAGGAAGCAATATGTCGACCACTTTTCTAAATATCACCTCAAAGACCCCTTTCCGGTCTTTCGACAAAAGTAATTAAGGTTATTTTTAACTCTATCAAAAGTTTTTCATATAGACATCTTCCTTGACTTATATTTAATCGATTTTATTTACTCATAATAAATAGATCATAAAATCTTGGAAAAAAATTACATAAAAAGTTTAGGATTAATATTTATTATTATCATTTTTAAATTCTGTAAATACGTCACACTGCATAAAAAAGCTACACAAAATTCATTCATTAAAAATATTTTTTCATTTTGTTTTAATAGAACGCACTACTAATTTTTTAAATATGCCATGCTACAAAAAATGGAAAAATCAATGATTGACTATTAGTTCATTTATTCAATTCAACAGTAGTTTTCATTTATTTTCTATAAATTTGTGATTGACAATCTTTTGGATTTTCGAGTTGGTCTTTTGCCTTAAAAGTGGAGTGCACTCAAAAGATGAAAGGGAGAGTTGCATGTACATTGATGTACGAGTCCAGAAAAGTATGTAGAGTGCGAAAGGGAAGGATGACATTGTCTAGAACGACATAGATCAATAGTTGACTGTCTTTCACTATACCTATATACGTGTGTATAAATCCGAGGACACAGTCTTGTCGAGATTGAAGTTTAAGGCCTTCAAGTATTAAAGACGCACTCATTGATAATGACCGGTTAATGGACCTTTTAAACCAAATTCGTTGCTATCGCCTTATCTTTATTCAGGCTTTTGAATTCGTGGCGGGTGGCTACTTGGATTGGACAGCAACCGTCCACATGTTTAAGGTGTCTACTGGCGCCTACCTCAATCCATTCGATAGCAAGATTCATGTTATTTTAGAATTTACAGCATTCTTCGTGATATCTGTAAAGTGAATCTCAAATTTCATTTCTCAACAAACTATTAGACGTGAATAAAGTGCTAGATTGACTAGGGAAAGAATTTTCAATACTCACTGACAATATTCTATCCAATCTGATCAATATTAAAGAAAAGTAATTTTCAATCTAAAGGAAAAAAAATTGATTTATGCCGATGTGGAGAAAACAATAATTCAAACAAAAAGTAAACAGTAATTTAAAACAGAGAAATGAATATATAATTTTAAAGAAAGAAAAAATGCAAAATGACGAATGATTTGCTGAAAAGTTTTGAAAACAACTGTAACCTTATTGATTGATCTTAGAATCCAATCTTCTGCATTAGGAAGAAAATCCTGAGCAGAATGATAGAGAAGAATCTGCTTAAGATTCTTGACGAGTCTATTGACATTTTCATAATTCATATACATACCCTGTTTATTATCAAGACATGGAGAAATAATCATTGTATGTGTATAATTAGTGTAAATGACAATCAAGATGAAGTATATAAAAAAGGTTTTCTTCTTGTTTTAAATTATGTGATATTTAGTATTTATATTTCCCTTTAATAATTAAGGAAAAGAAAAAGTTACATCACTTATGAAACTGCAAATTGAGTGATATAAGTGGTTCTTGTCTAATTTATTGGTTCTACTGTTTTTTTAGATCTACACCGATTGGGCCAATCATTATCTAGAACGAGGCGGCTGCAAGAGGCGAGTTACAGACATCCAGGCTGATCTCTGCGACGGAGTTCTTCTTGCCGACCTTATCGAGGCCGTCAGTAAGTCAACTTTTAACTATTTTTTTTTCAAACAAATAATTGACGCAAAAATAATCCTTATTACTATCGACATAATAATTATAATATGAAGATTAATTTTTTATTTCATTTCAATTTCGTTAATATTAGGGCGAGAAAAACAACAGTTTTTTTTAAATCAAAGATATTCGTAATCCAATTTCTATGAAAATCATTTTGAAACGATGTGATTTTCTAAAGGAATAAAAGGTTTTTGTTTCCCGCATGTGAAATTAAAAAATTGTGTCTTAGAAATATTAGCACTATATATGTATTCTATTGTGAGTTTACTTTCATTGTGAGTCAAGTCCTAACCCGGAAGAGCGAAATAAACGGTATGAAATTTCGAGGCGGGTTACGTGTCACACCAACGATTATTCACTGACAGTATTCGTATTTGTAAGCTTTTATGGCAATGGACAGTTAAGCAATAAGCAGTAACTATTAAATTTAAAGAACCATGTATCACATTACGCAATTTCATTACTAAAAATAGAAAAATTATTTTTGAATTCTTTTCAAATAAATTGATACCTTTATAAAAGCTGTGGATAAAATATTCTTTTCAAAATCGTTCAGAGTTGAGATTGTTTGCAGGACTTGAGAAATTTAGATATATATACATATATATTTTACATCTTTTCATAAGGAATTTTTTTTCAGCCAATCAGAAAGTGATTGAGGTCAATCGAAAACCGAAGAGTGCCCAGCAAATGGTGAGTTACTTAAAGATATCATTTTGCAAGAATTATAAAAATATTTTTCCAAGTCATATACATATGTCGTTTGGAATTTAAGCTTCTCTTGGCAGAAATTAGCGCGACACATTTTAACTGAAAAATTCTGTTCTCAACATAAAGCAAAAATCATAATAAGTTGCTTAATTAGACAAGATTTTTTCAAGAAAATCGTCTTTCTCAAAGATAATACTTTTAGACTGTTTCTTAAGTTTTATAAATAGGAAAGTGTTTAGTGTATATTTCGTTACTGACTGAAGACGGCACGCGCTCATCGTGCAGCTGCAACGAACAAAATTCACCGCATAGATCAGTGAAAAAAAATCTCTCTTCTTCTCCCCCCTCTTTGCGTCTTAAAGCTCATTGGAATTTTACGAGCCATGACTTTTTATTGCGCGACTCGAAAAATTAGCGAAAATGGTTAGACAGACGATCCAATGGTACTTGAAAAACATTAACGTCGATGAAGGAACGTTAAAACGTAATGTAATCCTTAATAACGACCTGAAGCTCTTACGAAACGAGAAAAGATTAAATTTCAAATTCTCATTGCGTTCGCACGATATGAAACGTCGAAAAGAAAATTTAACATGAAAATATAAATTAGACTCAAGTCTTGTCGTCAAATCAAAACCGATTTCTTTCTTTTTTTCTAATTTAAGTAACATTTTTTATACTATGTGTCCTTTTTTCCGATATAGAATATCAAAAAAAATTATTTTATCCAAATCTAATTTTTGAATGAAAATATTGTGAATAATGCCCCATATTCATGTTTTTTAAAAAGGTAATGATGAGCGATCATTTCAAAAAATGTTGGATGTATTGTAAAGTGTTTCTTGCAACGCGATTGTTTATCGAAGAAATTGAGAGAAAATCAAGGGATTTTAAACGCTAGCAAAAGTGACTTTCGCGTGCTTTCGTGGTGAGCTTTCCAATTTCATGTTGACGAGGGTGGACTAAAGAAAGAGAAGGGCATACAGTCTATAATTAAACGAATGGCGAATCACGTGTTTTGCTATGTACTGGTTGACGCGCGACACGCAACTTATTCCCTGAGTTTGTGTCGCCCTGCCCTTGTGACCCAAGATTTTCTTAGTTCCCATCAAACAGAAAAGTTCTTTGAATCCTTTCTAATCATATAGAACTTTATGTGCAATTACATTTTTTTGTTCTATTTTTTTTAGTTTTTTTCTAGTAGGAGAGAAATTTGGATAGAATTTACTATTAGACCGTGTTTCTCTCTATTAACTTTACCCTTTTTTTCCTCGAACTTATATACATATATTTTTCATTAGCTCTTGTCCAATTTTTGAAAACTCGCACATGGAAAAAGAAGAGACAAATTATCGGTGAAACGAATTACGAACCATTAATGTCACCTTTACTTTATAGTAGCTTTAACCAAAATGATACATGCAGTTTATTTTGAGATCCCAAGTGGTCCATTTGTGTCTATTCCTATTTTCTGAGAGTATTCATTTTGTATTCATTATGACTCAGTCTTATTAGTCAACTGCGAACAGTGGATATTAACGACTTTCTTATACAATTTACAAAAGTAAAAATACATTTTTTTAAAACTTTTTATTGACTATGTAATTCTCTATTTTTACTGACTTACAATTGTCCGAAATATTACGTGTAAACTTGCATTTAATTATTTGGGTTTCGAAAAAATTATTATTAATATTTTTTTATTTTAAATGTTTTAAAAGAATTTTTTGTAGAAACTTTTTCAAATCCTACTGTAATTGAGTCAATTGAAACAAAACCTCTTTGAATAACATCAGTGGTAGTTTACAGAGCATTAAAATTTGTTACATACTTTACGATATATAAGCTATAATGGAATGTTTTTTTGTGCTCTTCAATGAACAGTTTATAGAGCGTTTTTGTTACATTCTATATCTAAATAGCAATCAAATCGCTATCTTTAAGAACCAAAATGCTCTTTTATGTAAAATCATATGTTACATTTAATCGATTTTCGATTCTAAATTTTATTACTGTGTGTAAAACCAATCATTTATTCTTTCCGTTTGAAAGTGGCATTCATTTTTTCCCTTGGCTAAAAATTCAAATTATAATAAACGATTTTTAAATTGAAAAAATAAAAAAAATTATAATCACATATAGTGGATAAATGTATACAGTTGCATTTAGTTAATTAGAAGCTAAAAAAGTATTTTCCATTAAAGGGATGTATTTTACATATTTACGTGACTGTGTTGGAGTAACTTCATATTACTCAAGTTGCACATTCTGTATGTAGTCGAGTTCTCTTTTAGGAATACAGGCTGGCCAAGCACAGTCGCACACATATACGTGTGTGGACTATTTGCAAACCGTGACCAAGGAAACTCAAGGTAGTCCCACCACTCGTCTGTAGAGAGTTAAACAGACGAATACAAACTCCAAAAACTCTAAAGCAAGATTTCAACACGTTCACAGGACACGCTCTAAATCTTTATATCACCTTTAAAATCCTTCCTTCCATACTTTGATTTTTATCATTCAATTGAGATCTTTGATTATTATTCAAGGTGCCCCTCTTTGAATTTGATTAAACGTTGTAGCAGAATTTATTTGGGACAAAGGCCGTAGCAGGATAAGCATGGTCCTGCGGCCCCCTTTGGGTGTCGTCTATATTCGTGCGGTGTTAATTATTCACAATATGAAACTTTTTTTCGCCAAGTGTAAATTTTGAAATATTATTATTGAAAAAGCACTGAACAAAATTAAATTTGATTTTCTCTTAACTCAAACACGGAAATATATATACGGTTTTCTTTCAGTGTGTTTTATAAAATAATATGATTTAAAGGTTTATGTTCGTCAGGTGGATGACTAAAATTGAGATGAGTTTTTTATAAATACTTACAGGGATCCAAAGGTATATTTGAGAGCAAGTAAAACGCAAATCACAAATTTTCACACGGGTATAATTACAGAATGGTATGTTCATGAAATTCCGTCTTTCACGTCGTTTATTTGACCCTCGTTGACCCATCTTGAACAGTAACTACGTTACCTTCTAATTGCAAATTTTAATTCAAAGTTGGATTCGCCAATCGAAGTATTTATGACCGCAGTTAATGTTCAGTTATTTGCAACGGTTAAGGAAAAGAAAGAATTTTCATTTCTACCAGAAACGTCGTAAAGCAATGAATCGATTAAACTTCCGCATCCGTGCGAATCAAATTAGGAAAATAGGATTTAGAACGCAAAATAGAAAGAAGGGAATTAATTAATTCACATATGATTTTACTGAATAATTTGCATATTAATTTTTTTTTTCTTCACAAAATTTATTTTATTGTCATTAGTTTACCGCCTTTTTGATTCACGTAAACTGTACATACATTACTGTACTCTATATTATATTATATATATATACAATAAGTTAGACGAATATTCTCTCTGAATTAAAATTAGTAGAAAGTGAGATGCTAATTCACATTAGTAAGAATTTTTAATAATTTTCAGTAAAATATTACTATTTGATTTAGTAGTTTAAAATTTTTTTTTTTAATTGATTTCGATAATGTGGAAATTTCAACAAATTCAGTGAAGGAAATAATAATTCATACGTCCCTTTTCTTCAGGAATTTTTCAGATTGAGTTTCTGATCAATTTTCCCAACCGATTGATATATTTATTATTTAATACGTAGTACGTACGTCTTTGATAAAAATTGGAAGGATCTGAAAGTTTTGTGATTTTGCTCTTTTTAAACCTGTAAGAGGATCAGGGAAATGAGATAAAAACTGCTGACCGATCCTGACTCTAGAATTTCCATCCAATTTGCTGAGCTATTGTACAGTTTTCAAACTCGCCTTCTATGGATTCTCTACCACGAAGAAAGAGATTTTCATGATCATACATATCAAAAAATTGAAATTTCAACCATTACTAATTCTTCCCTTTAATATTGAAATAATAATAAATTTTTTTATTTCTGCACTATTTTTTTATGTTTAAAATATTTGAGATGCAATTTACTTTTATTTTGAAATACAAGTATTTTCGAACCGCGGGGTTTCCGTTCACAAAAATACAGACAGAATAAAACATTTATTTTATATGAAATGTTTTTTAATCATAAATTAAATTGTGTTCTGACCTTCTGACAAAAAAAATTTCTCCAATCACATATTCTTTTGTAATGGTAAGTTTTCAATAAGTATAGAAATTATTTTGTTGTAACAAAAATTTCTATACTTTGACAACTAAAAAAGATGCGAGTGAAATTTTTTTATATTCGGGAAATGTCTTTCGAAAATATCCGCGAGTTTATATCTAGTTTCACACGTATATTTCTGTGAAACACAATAAAAAATAGCAATTCATGCATCGTCTCTATATCAGCCTTATACATGACTTGCCAAGTTTACACATTATGTTTAGAGGGAATTTCCTGGATTAAGGTTTCTCGAGTTTTAACGATTCATATAGATATATTAATATTACGATTCGCTCTTAAATACTATAATGGTTAGTAAGGCGCTATAGCAACACTCATGAAGCAAAAGTCTTTATAGTCTTGATTAATTTTTTTTTTATATTTGTGTGATATGTTTTCTAGAAATTTTATTTTACTATTTGTATTGAATCGAATATTTTTTAATAATAAATAATAATATTAATTAATAAATACATTAATTAATATAATAAAAACTATGAACTACAATAAGTATAAACAACAATGAGTACAATTTCTATACAGAGCGAACGAGGAATATACCACTAGTTAAATAAATAAATTAAAAATTTCAATGTATATAATAAAATCCTGAAAATATCAAAAATTATTTTTAAATTACAAAAAGAAAGTAACGCACCCAAGAAAGAGGATTGAAAAAATAAAAGAAGCATTGTTTAGTGGAGGATCCTTGAGATTGACGTTAGTGTTATTATTTATGCTTGTAACTGGTTCATGGGGTATAGTGAAACCCCACCTATGGTCAGAAAAAGCA